GTATTTTTCTTATTTCCACTCTATTCTTAAGTATGGAATAATTTTGGGGGGCAACTCAACGAATAATGTTAGAGTTTTTAAATTACAAAAAAAAAGTCATAAGGATTATATCTGGAGTGGGACCTAGAGACTCTTGTAGGGATCTTTTTAGGAAATTGAATATACTGCCATTGTCATGTGAATACATTCTCTCGTTGATGATGTTTGTGATTGATAACCAAACTAAATTTTGTTCAGGTTTAGATGTTCATGGTTTGAATACAAGACATCGAAAGCAATTATATTTGCCAAACGGATGCTAATCAGAAATACCTAGTGCTTTGTTACTGACAAACTCCTGAGTAGACAGTCCCAGTACTGAGACCATAATCACAAACAGCTGGTAACCGATCACTACACAGTCATCTTCACAGACCAGCATCAGATTACAGCAACAGTTGAGCAGGTTTATCTGGTACACTGCCTGGAAAATACATTAAACAGTGAGAAAACATAACCTCAAAGAAACACAGCTGTTTATCTAAAACTCTTCACTGGAAGAAGTCTCATTTACATTACTCTATCAAAGAAAGAAGATTATGAATTGCAGAGTATGTTAGTAGGAGGAATGTAAAGGGATGTGACTACTTAGGAGAGCCAGTACATATGTGAGAACAATCATATGTATAAAAGAGGAGACAATCTGTGTGTTCGTGTTATGTACTCACAGAGAACACAGCTAATCGCAATGCCTGAATTGAATTGAATTTATTTACATTCTATAAATCCTAAGCAGGTTAGTACCTTTGGATACAGAACAAGTCAAAAGGTTACATACATAAGTACAGGCAATTTTAGCTTAAAAATTAATATAACTTAATTTTACATCATTCTCTATTTACATTGAAGTATTCATCTAAAGAGTAGAAGGAATGAGCATGTAGATAATTCTTTAACTCTGATTTAAACTTTTTAGTATCATTGCCCAAGTTTTTAATACTTTGTGGCAGATTGTTGAACACTTTTATGCCAGTAAAGTAGACTCCTTTTTGATATACTGATAAAGTTGATGAGGGCAGGTGGAAGTTGTATTTTTGTCTAGTATTCATGTTATAGACATCAGAATTTAATTTGAATTTATCTTTGTTGTAAACAACAAATAGGAGAAGCGATAATATGTATTGCGATTGAAGCGGTAGAATTTTTAATTTCTTAAATAATTCTCTACATGAATCTCTACTTCTACATCCTGTAATGATTCTAATTATATTCTTTTGTATTTTAAAAATTATTACACTATGTGAAGAGTTCCCCCAAAATATTAATCCATAGTTCATAATAGAATGAAAGTAGGCATGGTAAACCATCTTCAATGTTTCCTGTGACATAAAAGGCTTAATTGATCTCATCGCATAGCAAGCTGCATTTAATTTAGGTATAATTTGTTCAATATGTATTTTCCAAGACAGTGTACTGTCTACATGTATTCCAAGGAATTTTGTATCAATTACTTTACAGATTACTGACAAATGACATTAGTTTAAGATGGCCTGGCACCAGATAAGTTGGGCTCTCTCTCAGGGGGACTAGCTGCTACGATTCTGTACACATGCCCTGCTCTACTGCCCACAACAGGAACATACAGTAGCTGCAGCAATTCATGTAACAATACCAAGCAACGGAGGTCAGAATGAGTGTCTCTGTTAGGTAGATACTTGCCACACTGTACCAAGATGCTTGCGAAGCAAGAGACAGAGAACACAGGGCTCAACAAAACTGATGCAGAGTGTAATTTCACATTTTGATCAAACAAAAGGTAAGGGATTGAAATAAAGAAGGAAGGAAGGACGTAATGAAAGTATGTAAAAGTCTTTCCAACGAATTTCTAATGAATCACTTCCACTAATAATATTAAAATGAATCTACAAAAAGGGTATGAAGGTTTTGACTGGATTCAACTGGCTCAGGATAGGGTCCAATGGCATATTTTTGTTAACCATGGTGATGAACCTTTAAGATTTGTAAAAGTGCAGAATTTTTTGACCAGCTGAGAAACTACCAAGCTTCAAGGAAGATCATGTATGAAGATACCAGAATATGGCAATACTTGATTTTTCCACTATTAATAAAAACAAGCCCATTATATTTGTAAAGAATGTCTGTAATTTTGTCCTGAATTCTGCCAAATCAGCATAAAAAGGAAACTTGACTTGTAAGCTAGGAGCACCAATAAGGCATGTTCAGTTTACTCCACGTTAAGGAGATGGTCAGCATCACTGATATACATAACAAATGTTGACAGCCCTTGTATATTCCAGTCACAAGATCTAAAACTAAACAGCCTTTGGTATGTCCATTCAATTATGGACTGAATGAGAGATCACCATTTGATCACCAAGCTCACCATGCACACCCCCCCCCATATCAGTTTTATTCAGAACTGAAAACATTTTTTAATTCTAATAATTTTCCTCGGGAGTAAAGCCTGGCCGGCGCGTAAGGCTGACAACCTTACTGCCATCTTTGAGCCGATTGTCTAGATAATGTGGGACCCTCAACGTCTCACAACCCTATGGGCCTTCATGGCCTGGTACAGAGATAGCTTTACTGTTTTACTTACCTAACCATTATGTTATGAATAGGTACACAGGACATGGGGGTAAGCCTCTAAATAATTATGGCCATTCTGAACTTTAGGGAGAAGAGAAAACTCTCCTGCCCTTGACAGGAATTGAATGCCAACTCTAGTTCCTACACTGACTGAGCTATCCCAGCTCCCTATATTCCATGTGTAAGTGCTAATTTTGACTGATTGTAGATCGGAGCTAAATAGTATAGCCCAAGATAAATATCACAGACAAAAAATGATTCATGTGTTCCTGACAAAAATGGGATTCTAACTTGTATTTGGAATGTGGCTGGGGTGAATCTTGTCCAGGACACAAGCTGTCTTGACTGCCATCTTCCACTGTCTCCCTCAATCCCTCCAGGAAAATGCTGGGCTTGTAGATCAAATGGGCCACATCTGCTTCTTTCTACATTCTTTCCAATTCAGCACTGGTTAACCAGTACAGAGTATGGGACACTGAGAATGCTGTTAATTACACAACAAACAGATTCATGTACACATATACTGTGTGTGTGTGTGTGTGTGTATGCATGCACACACAAACGTGTGTGTGCATGTATGTATGTATGTTTCTGTGAGAGTGAATTTATAGGCATGTCAGCTTCGGTTATTTGCCCCCATATAAAATTCAAGTTAAAATATTCATAAAGAGAAATAGGTAAAATATTACCATAAAATTACACACTTGTTAGGCTGCAGAGGTATAACTAACTGTACATAAAATTCAAGAATATGACAAGAGATGTTGGGTTAAAAACAAACAATAAGATAGACCATAAATGGGCCATTGTGTTCTAAAAATAACAGTACAGATAAAATAACGTGAGCACAAGTATAAGACTGAGTTGGTCAAATGCACAAGTCTGACCTTGTACCATGATGGAAAGCCACAACATTAGACACATCAATGTGATCACCTATTTGCATCTGCAAAAGGCATGAAGGTACTTAAAGTACAGCATTTATTGCCATAATGTGGCAGTCCTTCACAGCACATCTACAGTGCTAAACAGTGGAGACACAACATATGAAGGAGAGTCAGTAAACAGGTCAAAAATGGAAGTAAAACAGCTGTAATTGTTGTAATAGGTTTCCTATGTGCATCACTAGGTAGCAGCACAGCCCAATTTCAGGTTCTAGTGGAATGTTTCCAGACCAGGAAAAAAAAAATGCTGGCTTAACTTACTCAATTTTGGCTGTCATCACCTTTAAAATAGTCTCCTTGGGAGTGTATACAGCGATTGCATCATTTCTTCCACACTTCAAAAGCACTGTGGAAGTCATTTTTCTAAATGCTGTCAAGCATCACTTGCGATTCCCTTGGATGTTAGACACTGTTTCAAAACATTGACCTTTCAGTTTCATTTTCAATTTCGGAAACAAAGTGAAATCATATGGGGCTAAGTCTGGCAAGTAGGGAGGATGGGGAATGATAGCCATGTTGTTGTTAGTCACAAACATTGTGATTTTCAGACATGTGTGGGTGGGCGCATTGTCATGATGAAGGAGCCACTTGTGTTTGGGCCAGAGTTCTGGTCTTTTTTGTCACAAATTTTCTCTCACAGTAAAAGCCAGAGTTGATTATAGTGCTAGGGGGAACAAATTCACAGTGAACAACCCCCCCCACACACACACACACACACACACACTAATAAACACAATAAGGATGCCCTTTGTTGAACACTGGACCTGTCATGCATTTTTTGCCCTTGGTGTCTGTGGGCTCTTCCACTGAGATGATTGTTGATTTGTTTCTGGATCATAACTGTAAATCCAACTTTTGTCACAAATTATGATCCTACAGGTAAAAGTTGGGTCCTCATTAGCCTTCTCTCGTAACTCAAGACATACATTTACATGCTTCTGATCATCTGTCAAGGGTCAGGGAAAAAATTTCACAGCAATGCGGTGCATGTTCAAATTTCCGTTAAGATCTCCAGGCGTTCATAACTGATCTCAACAGTGTCTGCGAGCTCATGGATTGTTCGGTGACAGTCTTCATGGATGAGTTCTCAAATTTTTCAACATTTTCTGTCATTTTGCTGTTTGGCATGTAAAGCGGTTCATAACTGGGTGCCAAATGTTTCACTGATGAAGAGGTTGAAATAAAGGTTTGGAAGTGGCTGAGACAACAGTGATAGGACTTCTATGCTGCAGGTTTCAACATACTGGTAAAGGTATTGGCTGGTGGAGGATATGTTCAGAAATAAATGTTTTCTTCCAGGTTCATGTGTCTTACATTTTATACACATCTGTGACCTATTTACTGACTCTCCCTCATACATCACATTGTTCCATTGCCCCTATACCATGACAGGTTGTACCTCTTTGCTCCAGCAGATCTCAGCACGTTTCAGGAAGTTGCCTATATCTATCAACTTCTCCTTCAATGTGGCCCTGTCACTTCCTTTCAGAATGGCTGCAAACACATGGAGCTGTCTTGCATTAGCAGAGTCCTCCATTGTAGGCAACACAAGCTTGCAGTATGTGTCAGCAGGAACAAAATACCCAATCAACTCTGCAGCATTCTCAACCTAGAAATATGTATACTGAGTAGTAAAAAGTAAGCTGAGTGATGAAAATATATATATATATATATATATACACACACACACACACACACACACACACACATACTCACATAAAGGTTGGGTCTAACTGCTGGCCCTTGCACTGTGAACTTCAATGATCTATTGTGCATTATCCTCTATTTTAACCCTTTAACAATCCTACACTTAAAATGAACTGCAGGATTCTGTTTACAGGGCAGAACGGTTGTCAGCCCTATGTGCCGGCTACCCTTTACTCCCAAGAATATTCCAAGAATATTCCTGGTACTCATTTCTGTTAGAGGCTGAGTTGAACCCAGGGCCATAGCGTGGCTGGAAGGATTAGTTTATTGAAAAAATCCAATGACCTCATCGGGACTTGAACCCACGACATTCTGGCTTGTAGCACAGTGCCTCAACCAACTATGCTACTGTGTGTCCCCTTAAATAATATAAATAAATAACAACAAAAACAACAACAACAACAACAACAATAATAATAATAATAATAAGAAGAATATGTGAAGGGTGTTTCAGAGTAGTTCAAACGGCACGATCTCCAACAGGGTCTGTTAGAAAAATCAAAATTAGCCCAACATGTCCATGAAGAGGGTCATAAAGTAGGCTCGGAAATTGAAAGTAACAGCAGGGACAGAAAATATAAGGAGTTGGACAATATGGCATGCTTAACCAATCCAACCAGCCAACCCAGTTCAGATATTTCTCCTATCTGGATTCCCCTCATCAGCAATGAAGTTTGTAACTGACAGAGAAGATCTGTATGATGTGACAGATTCTTCATGGCCTTCCATATGGTTTCAGTCTCGAGTGTTCAGGTTTTTACTCCACAGATGGCACTAGTGGTAGATACTACATGTCTTCACATTCCCCCCCCCCACACACTCTTTTATTTGGATTGGTGGTCATGTACTTGGTTTTGTTGGTCATGTTTGTAGCAGAAATTTCTACCCCCTTTCTATTCCAGTTCCATGAATGCATGTGCTTTATCACAGTTTTTATTGTATATTTTCTTGTTATCTCCAGCTGAATTAGCTTGGTCTCATGTGATTAAATAGCTGTGTAAATCTGGTAGGGGTTGTTCAGTGATTGAGGTTAGCTTTTGCTAAGGGGCCCAAGTGTGTAGGTGTCTTCAACCCCTCATCTGAGAATGGAAACAGATCCAGTTTCTGAAACATCATGTTTTCTATTTTCTAGAATACCAGATGATGGACAAAGTCCAAAAACCAAGTAATTCTGCATGTTATACAATATCGTCAGGACTCTTTAGAATCTACTTGTACAACTGGTATGGACACAGGAGAATCTACCTGATTAAAATTTGTTTGAGACATTTTCTGACTTGGCCAATATTTGAGAAAATCTAATGAAAAAATAAGCTGAATCCATATAATTTGATGCCTTAATGTGATCACCTTTGTAACAGATTTGCATTTACAATAAATGAACAATGATTACAAAACTGGATAACACACAGGTAACTTATATTTGTTTCTTAAGTGATAGTCAAAGGATTAGAGCTTACTCAACCAAAAGAGAGACTGTTAATAACATAAACTAACTTCCTCACTCTGCAGCCAGCTCAGAGACAAAGCCCCCAACTTACAGACTGAGAATGTCACAATGTGCTCCCTGCTCAGGGCCATCACACACACACACACACACAAAAGGGGTGGTGACAGATGATTAAGGAGCAATGGTGGAATGGTGATGAGAAGGGGGAAATTGGGAGACTCTGAGAAGCCCCTACTCTGTTGTCACTTCATCCATCACAAATCTCACAACACGTTATGCGTGAATGAACCTGTAATTCCATGGGAGAAGCCAGAGCCTGCTAACATGTCATATACTACTATGGAGGAAGCATTAAGTTGCTGAATACATTTCAGTCACTACCTGAACAACATGACAATAACAACTCTGACCAACCACTATTCTGACAACAATGCTTACCAACTCCACACTACTTTGAATCTTCTAGAGATATGGAAGTATGAAGGTTGCAATGAAAACTCACATTAATAACAACTCTCTTATCTTCATCGCCGCTTGCTCGATACATTCCATCCAGAATCTTCTCCAGATGATGAGTTATGTGAGTTTCAGCATTCAGAACCAATGAGTACAACAACTGTGAGGCTTTAAGTCGAATGTCTACAAGCCAGTCCTCTAGCTCACGGACCAAGGCTGGCACAATCTTGCACAAATGTCGACTCACCAATGTACGGCAACCAAGATTTTGTCTTGTTTCTAAAATTTCAACACATACATTTAGAATAATTCTATAGGATAAATGCACAATCAATTTAAACTGATGGAAATTACAATGATGTGTTAAATATTCTCATTAAACCTTCCATCTGGGCCATGTCAACATTTTCAGCACTGTTATGTGATATCTTTTACTGTGCTAAAATGACCTGTTTGAAAACTTTGGAACTGTAATAAATTAGAATAGTAAATACATATATTATAATTTAACATCCTGTTGTGCTGGTTAATGATTTAATAATCAGGGGCAGTCTTGAAGGTTCAACTTCTTGTCATGCTCACAGACTGTTGGTGTGCTACACTGTCACTTATAAATGATATTTCTATGACATATATCGACTAATTAAGGTCATCATCAAGTAGATACTTTTCATATAATAGCTGCATTGTATGGCTTTTTCTAGTTCACTGTTCTAAAACGTGGTTCAAATACGCTAATACTTTAAAGTCCTACAGGTAAATTAAAACCAAATACTCTCCACTGTTATGCATAATTCATTTAATTATTTCACCCTAGACATGTTCAAAATATAACTATCTCACTAAAAAAATGTTTTTGTAGCAATGGGTCCAGATACTAATGTGGAAGATATACCATGAGGAGGGTAATGAACTGGTTCATCCGTCAGGAAATCCATCTCATCTTTCAAGTCATGTTCATTCTCCTGCATATACAGTTTCCCTGCTTCCTCCCAAAGCATTACAGCTTCTGTCCGCACCTCTGGAACTTCATCAGTCAAACTGAAATAGTCACAGATATTTAAAAGAAGAAACTTATTTCACATATCTGTGTGTATGTATGTACTTTGACAGAACTCACAGTATTTATATTCAATTCTTTTCCCCTTCATAGGAACCAATAACATCAATTCTGTGGGATTTGTAATGGTACTTACATAATAATGGGTGACCAAAGTAACTTTAAAACTTTACTGCCATACATACATACATACATCAGCATTTCAGAGTATTCATAAGTGTGCAACTGGCACTGAATATAAAACTTGTCAAACAACACTCCCAAGACAATCACAGATAAAATAGCAGAGACATCAATTTGATGTTGGGCCATGTTGCCCACCATATCAGCACTTCCAACTATAGAAGTTTATTTGTAAAAAGAAAAGAAAAACAGACCTATTATAGTTTTCAGATAACTGTTTTTTATCAAAAAACCTAACCTTCTTAAAAATGGAACCAAATAAACCAAAACCAAAAGCTAAACTCTGTGAAGCTGGAAGCAAATTCTAAGGTTAACTGCTATTTACATGACAAACTACACAATATATTTGAACCTGAATATGACTACATAGCAGATGAAACATACTGTTCTAAGAAATAACGATTATGTTGGGTGACCAGCACAACAGTAATACATTGTAATCAATAAAAATTACCACAAATCAATAAATAAATGTCCGAGGTGTTTCACTACAAGTAACTAAGAGGTACTTTCCATACATATCCACCAAACTACATGGCATCATGGTTCAGTGGTTATTATTTCTGCTTCATATTTAGGAGATCCTGAGTTCTAACCTTGGCCTGAGGACCTGCTTTCCTGACCAAGGTTCTTTCATAGTTTTCTTCAGTCCCTCCAAGCAAATGCTGGGATACATACCATAACTGCTTCCTTCCAAATTCTATCCAATTCATTAACCATTAATTAACCAATTAACTGATGTTATATTATCTAAGATACTGAAAGCAACATTAAATAAACAAATCATAAACAAGAACACATACCAGAAGAGAGTAGTATTCATTCACATACAAGTCAGTAAGACCTCAAACTTTCCTTTGTAGAAAAGTAAAGTTGTCCCTGTGCCTAATTAATTGAGCACTATGCCACGAACACATATGGGGGAGTGGATGTATAGCTCCACCATTCTTCATTAGTTTAAAGAAAACGTTGTGTAAAATAATAAGTATGAACATATACACAACAAAACAATCACTATTAATTAAAATTTGCATCCATTTATTGAATACTTCCAATTTACATTCATGGTGTTGAATCTGAACAAAGTTTAAAATGCATGGCCTATTGAAATTTAATTTCAATCTCTGGTCAGAAATAATAGAGAAAGAATAATGCAGACCTTTAATTTTACTCCTCTACATCTTTACACCTAAGAGAGAAGAAATCATAGCATTTTTTAAGAAAACTACAAAATGGGGAGCTTCATAATTTGTACTTTTCACCAGATGTTACTTACTTACTTACTTACTTACTAATATAGCTGAGCCCTTCTTGAGGAGCTGACAATTCTGCAGCTACTCAAGAATTTCCCAGCATTTTATGGAACCCTAAGATTCATTACCATGTTTACAAGAGCCCTCCACTGATCCCTATCCTGAGCCAGATCAATCCAAGGTGGGTTCCTTGTCACCATGGCATGATGCGTCTTCAGGTTGTGGATGGAGGGAAGCTGTGAATATATTGAATAAGCAGTCACGGAGAGCCAGCAAGGGGGTGATCCTCCAGCTTAGGGGTTGGTGCGTGGGGCTAACAACTCCTCACCATAAAAAATAATTCAGTTATGAAAATGAACACAAAGCAAAGCACCATATGTTACTAGAGTGATAAAATCAGGGAGGATGAACTGCGTGGAAGACATAGCACACATGGAAGAGAGAAAATGAGTATACACAAGGTTCCGGTAAGAAAACCTGAGGGAAAGAGATGACTATCAAACTTAGGTATAGATAGTGGATGGGACAATGAGGGTTGAATTTATCTGGTTTATGGTAGGGACCACAGGGTAGGAGTGGGGTCTCCTGTGAACATTGTACTGATCAAAGAGTACTATCTTCTGGGATATAATGCCATGTAGTCCACTGAAAGTCAACCACCGTTTTGGAGGAACATATCAATTCCATCTTCAGTGTTGAAAAAGTTGAGTTAGAGACCAGCGTGAAAGCAGGTGCCAAGCAGTGAAGATGGAGGCACGTTCCTCTGAAACAACGGCTGACTTTCAACAGACTATATGGTGCTGTAAGGCAGAAAACACTGTGAGAACCTCAAATCCTACATAATAATGATCCTGTGGGTTATATAAATTGCTGTGAATTTCTTGAATAGCTGGGAAACTATTAGCTTCTCAAGAAGCACTTTGTTCCATGGAGTTAGTCAGTTAAATCTAGAGAAGTGCTGATTATTGCATCTCACCTTGTAAGAATCAAAGGCAGAAGTCTATGAAAGTAAGAATAGCGATCTGGCAACTCTGCCAGCCACATTCCAGTCACACGTACTACAGCCTGACGTACCATTGGGATTTGATCAAACAAACGCTCTGCAAGGTGCCCAATAACAGTATCCACAGACTTACTATTGCCATACTGAATAACCTTTCCTGTAACAAAATATTACATAACTTGTTATAGATTCTGAAAGCACAGAAATGTGTTATACTGAATACCCTACTACAGGCACCAGGTACTTCACGAAAGAATGCAGCCTCATAAAATGAAAGTATGTTCTTGAACTTTAAACACTAAGCAGTAGAAAATCCTTCCTTTATCATTGCCAACTTACCAATTGCAGTGATAGCAACAATCCTCACTTTGTAATGCTGGTGAGTGACACTCTGTAGCATAGGTAATATCAGTGACTGCGAATGAACATAGAAATGCTTTGGAACTGTCTCAGAAAGATGTGCTGCACATTCACAGCTCTCTGACTTAATTTTTGGATATGGATCCACTAACGTTCTTACTAATATCTGTATAATATCACTTAAGTAAGATGGCAGCAGTGTTGGGCGATATTTGTTAATTACACAGTGTAGCAAATAAACTTGTAACAAACGCACTTCTTCTGAAGGTTCAACTAGTTCTTGTCCGCCAAGCCGCTGTAACAGGGCTGGCATGAGATATGTGAAGTAATCATCCTCTTGTTCAAGTGAGGATATAATGCTGGTCAATTCCTTGACAGCTAACTCTCTACAAGCCTCAGCTTTATCATTAAAACAGCGCAAAATATTTTTATATATTTTAACCTTTTCAGTCACTTCAATCTCTGAATCGTGCTCATGTAGAAATTTAGACAATTCTTTAATAGCTTCCTTCTTCTTCTTCCTATCCTCACTTTGAAGCGCACTACAGTACTTTGTAACTATTATATCTGCCATTTTTCAAATTACAGGCTTCATTTAACTTTTACATAATACAAAACTAAGACATGGTATGTGTACATACTACTCTCTTCGTAAAGTGTTCAATACCACATGGTCCGCAAGTCTGCCATTTGTAAATAAATAAATAAACAATCGTGGTAACCAAGAGAAACAAGAGCACCGATAGGACCGATAGCAACCAATGACCGGGGGAGTGACAGCGGTGACAACAGTGACGAGAGTGACTGCCTTCTGATTCTGATCTAGGGGTCTATAATGAATAATCTTAAGCATTGTTCTACGCCGTTTATCACGATGCTGACAATGTTAGAACAGATTACTGTAGCTGGCTGTTTGTGCTTACAGTATGAAGTTAAAAAATTAATTTAAGAATAATGATATTTGTTGTATTCCATCTGCTTACATTCTAACCACGTGTATCACATTTACAAGGGAAATTTAGCATCTAGCATTCCAACGAGTTTACAAAACGTCATGCACTCTAGTGGAATAGATCGTAACTATGATAAGATAAGCAAATGCAGCCCACCTTCTGTGGCCTTTGCGACAACCAAGCGATACAGATTTCAGTGTTTAGTATCGAACCGTGGTTACATCTGACCCATATGACATAACAGCTGGGAAATGTGACATAACCGCCAAATTTAACTTCAAGTTATGTTTGTGAACGTATGAAGAATAACGCAAGATAATAAAGTTTTTGTGAATGCATATTAGTTATGACCACAGAAACCGAAAAGGTAACACGTTCAGTTTTAAGTCCATTCTACTTCAACTCTGTGTTTGTATTGTCTCAAATGAAGAACAACCTCCTACCAATATGACACTTGTCAGGTTTAAACAAAGTATAATCTTAACTGAAGAATATTTGTATACTTCTCTCTAGCAGTATAATTCACTGTTGTAATTCTGTGGCTACAGTTATGGTTCCAGTCTGTAACGCATATGTACTTATGAAACGCTAAATGTTTTACATTTTCTGAACATTTTATTTTTATAGAAAGCAGTCATAGTAAACCACACCTCTTACCCTCCATCAGCAAAGCTGACCAGACCGAAAATATCACTGGCTGATGAGGGGGCTGGGGGGAGATCTATATTAACTGTAAGAAATTAAAGTTGCACTAGTGTAATGTCATTTACAGCTCCCAAACATATATTTGCAAGTGCTTTTGTTAGATTGTTGAGTGTGTTTTGTACTTTCATACATATTCAGTATGTGAAAATGGTATGAATGTTTTTAGCTTAATATACAAGTCCTGTGTTACATTTCAGCTGAAGAAGAGGCTAGAACTGATGAGCAAGGAATTGTCATTACATCAACGTAAGTTAAGGAGACATATTCGGAAGAAAGAAGTCAAACTGAATGACAAGAAAGCAAAATTTACCAAGAATTCATCACACTGTACAATTGGCACCATTGCCAAGCATCCATGTGTCTTAGAAATATCAGCTCTTGAAAAATGCAACAAAGGTCTTGTATCCAGCTTAAGTAAACATAATTTTATTTATTCTAGTGATTCAAAAGATGAAGCACGGGGGGTTTCAGTGGGTGCTACATTACCACACAGTCATAGCATTCACATTGCTAGTGAACCCAAAATTATACAAAAAAATGTAAGCAGAGAAGAACATGTATGTGCAACAGTTGTCCCTGAACTTGCATCGCAACAATACTTCCCTGTTTTGGGAGAAGAGAATTCATCACTCAAGCAAAGTGACATCACTAATAAAGACATAGGACCAACTATCAGTACAGACTGTAAAGAAGCTCCTACATACTCAACATACTCAACTCCAAGGAAATTGATTAGCAATGAAAATGACAGTAATTGGTCACCCATATTAACTCAAAAAAATTGTGTTTCAAAGAGTTCTGCAAAGCCACGAACCAGCTTTATAGAAAAAAGAAAGAAATGTTTATTGTCATCAACTAAATCAAAGAAAAAATATATCCACAAGCAGACTTCATTCACATTAAACCATGAGATGTTGCATAAAGTGAAAAACGCTTTACCTCTAGATAGTCTCGCTGCCCCAGGTGATATTACAAGTTCCGAAAGCACAAGGGTCACACATACTGATGATACACTTCTAGTCAGAGAGGACACAGTTTATAAAAAACCAGAGAGAAATGGTTTTGTAACATTCCCTCCATGTGTAGCCAAAGGCAGAGTTTTATCTGTCATTTTTGAAGACAGCTTTCTTGTTTTAGTTCAAGAGTTTCAAATCAGTCTCTGGAGATTTTTTAAAAGAAAAGCACCGTGCTGGTTTCACATCGGAGTGTTACCTCGCAAACTTCTTGATTGTGGAATCTCAGTGGGATGTATGAGCAGGAAGGTTAACTTTGGCAGTGAGCAAATGTTTGTCTGTATTGAACTGTGGACATCTGATGCAGAAGAACAGACTATACTGACATGTGTGATATACAGCTATAATACAATTGAACGTACATTCAAATCTTGCTGCGTCGAATTTAAGCACATACAATGGTAAGTATGAGTGATCTGTTAACATACGATTTTTGATAACGTATGTATGTATATAAGGGCTTCCACAGATTCCTACAAATTTAGGAGCCAAAATAGGGGGGAAAAATACATAATGTGAGAAATCTGCTTATTTTTCTTAGCAAAATAACTGAAACATCCACATATACATAATATCCAATTCCCTTTGTGCTCAGAGAGAACCTACACATTGTATCTAGGATATGAGGAGATGAATAACGATGGACATATAAATGGGATTGGGAAGCAGTAAAAGAGAAAGGATGGAAGGAGTAAACATATGAAAGGGATGAAAGAAAGATTGCTTAGCTCTTAATCTGTAATGGGTCATGCAACAGTAATAATAACAAATGTTAGGAGTCATGGTGCCTTGGATTTGTGCAGGCCTCCACATACAGATGTCTTGTAATGCTGGATCACTTTCATTGAAAACTTGTATTTAATTTTATATAAATAGTGCAGACACATTCAACCATAATGCAACTGGGTTAAAGGAAAAAATACATTATTTTCAAGAATTGTAGTATCATTAAAAATAATTCTGAACCCATGCTTAGAGTTTGATATACCCATAAAACTGGTCAGACTAATTAACATATGTTTAACTGAAACCTTCAGTATAGTCCACACACATATATGACAATTTGTGTGATATATTTTGTATTCAGAATGGTTTGAAAACAAGCTGCTTTATTGTCATCATTTTTAAGCTTTTCTTTAGAATACACCTTTAAGAAGGTCCAAGAAACTTGGGAGGACTTGAAATTAAATAAGACACATCAGCTTCTGATGCTGATGATGGTAACTTATCAGACAAAACATAGAAGCTGTCATAGACATTCGTAAGGATGTCAGTAAGAGGTAAATTTGCCCCTGTGCTTAACTAATTAGCCACTATGCCATGAAAGAAGTACAGGGAAGTGGTTGTATAGATCCACATATTCTTTACCTCTGCACTCTTAGGAGTTGAGTAGGTAAGGAGGTTGGTCTAAAAGTAGATGCAGACAAAGTAAAGTACATGTTGATATCTTGCTACCTGAATGCAGGGACATTTTTAAAGCTACTGACAAGTTCACAGCTCTGCGCTTCACCGCAACCAGTGCGTCGCCGGTCGTGAAGCGCATGCAAATTTCGATGACTCAGCATGCTTGATGGCCAGTAACATTTGGAATGAAGGAAAATAATTAACTTGTAGACCTCTACACAGTATTATGTTACACAGCGGGCAGTGCAGTTCATGCATCAGAGTTTGTTTGTGATTTGTCAGCAGTAGGCAGTAGTTGTCAGTACCATGAGCCATTTGCTCCCAGTTAACAGTTAGTCAGAAGTGTGGCATGACATGGTGCTATACTGAAGCATTAAAGCTATACTGTAGAGCAACATGTATTCCTGTATGACACCTACATGTAATATGGATCTGCTGGAAAGTGTCGGCAAAAATTTTGATGTAAATTTCAGGATGAAAGAGTTCCTAGCAGACAAACAATTCATAATTTGGTGAATAAACTTATAACAATGGGGCTCTTAGTAGGCAAGAAAACAAAATATATGCATCAAGTGCTTACTGAGAAGTTAGATGACATAGGGGCAGACTTGAACATACACCTAGAAAACCACTGAAATGTCTAGCTCAAGAGACTGGAGTGTCAAAAGTCTAGTGCAAGAATGGCAACACAATTGCTGAAGCTTAAACCCTATAATACAACAGTAATCCATGCCTTGCAGCTGCGCGAACCAGCTAGCAGGGTTCGGTTTTGCAGTTGGTTTCTACAATCTCGTCAAAAGTGAAATCAATCCGTAGTTGACATTCTTTTCTGATGAAACGTGGTTTCATTTGCAGGGATACATAAATGCACAAAACAATTTCTACTGGAGTTCACAGAATCCACATCTAACCCACAAAGCCCCACTCCATCCAGTAAGGTTGGTGCTTCGTGTGCTGTAAGTGTAAGGATTGTTGGACCTGTGATTTTAACGAAACAGTTAATTGTGAAAGATATGTACAGGTCATTCTCAGGCAGTTCTTTTCAGAGTTAACAGAAGAAGAAAGACTGTATTGCTCACACTGCATGTATGTCTATACAGGCTTTGTCCTGGGTCTCAGGGGACAGAATTATAAGCAGTGGTATTTGGCCAGCATGTTCACCTGATCTTGATCCTTGTGATTCTTCCTTCTGGGGTTGTTTGAAGGGGAAAGTTTACAGCATTAACCCTCAAACGGAAGAAATGAAAGAAAACATTTGTATGGAAATTTCAAATATTCCTGCAGAGCATCTTTAGAAGGTAAATCAGATCATCTTCTGCTGGTGCAAGGAATGTCTACATGTAGAGGGACAGCATTTTAAACACCTCCTGTGATCCGTGAACAAAGGTAAGAGCTTCCTTTCATCTCAAATGTTATCGGCATGCTGAATCATTGGCAAAATTTGCGTGCACTTCATGGCTGGTGGTGCATGTCATGGTGAAGCGCAGAATCACGAACACATCAAGTTTATTAAAAACACCCTGTGTAAAGATAGCTAACGGTTCTTTTAAAACTTACTTGTAGTTCAAATAATTTGGAATGACACTAACAAGTCAAAATTACATTCCTAAAGAATTTAAGAGCAGTTTTGGGAGCACTTGCTGTAATTTAGTTTGGCTTAAAATATAGAGAACTATAATTCTGTCTGCAGAGACATAGGCATGTATGAGAGGATAATATTAAAATGCATCTTAAAGGGCAACAGAAGAATGTGGGGGTGGATTCATCTCTCTGAGGTTAGGAGTGAATGGGTAGCTCTTGTGAGCATGGGAAGTGAATCTTCATGTTCCATAAAATTCTTGGAATTTCTTGACTAGCATAGCAATTATTTGGTTTCTGGCAGATTATAAAAATTGAAACATTTGCAAGCTGGTGTGTATGATTGAGCAGATGTTGCCGACGTAATGTTTATCACAGAAAGTAAAATCCAAGTCTCAGCCATTTAAATGCTCCAATTTTATATGAGCTTTCCTTTCAGGCTGGGTCGGCAGCTCATATTTAAGTTTGTTGCAAATCTGCAGAAAATGAACTCGATATTCATAATCTGATTTACTAGGTACATGAAGAATGTACAGTTCTGCATCCTTCCTGAGCTCTCAGTAGCTGTCAGCTGGGCACTATGTGATGATGCCCTCAGCACAAAAATTGTGAAGTTTAATATTGATGTTGAGTCCCAGTTGATTCTGAAATCTACAGAGATGGTTCCAGTGATGGGTGCTGTAAATTCTCTTCATTCCCTTAAAGGTGAGATAAAACAGAAATCTGTCTGTAGCTTCAAACAGTTCTGCTAAAATTTTTAAACTTACGTGTTTAGTATTTTTAAATTTTTAATATTGAAACAGGAGCATACATTTATTTATCCCCTCTTTTCACTCTCACTACATGTTTCGGCATCAATGTGCCATCTTCAGGTGCTGATCCAATCCACGACAAACTAATTCATTGCATGCCTTGTCTTTACATACTAAAATAACTAAAATATATATTTATCATATATACTGACAAATGTCAAGTATATATGATAAATATATATTTTAGTTATTTTAGTATGTAAAGACAAGGCATGCAATGAATTAGTTTGTCGTGGATTGGATCAGCACCTGAAGATGGCACATTGATGCCGAAACATGTAGTGAGAGTGAAAAGAGGGGATAAATAAATGTATGCACTAGAAGACGGATAAAATAAATCATGGACTTAAATCAGTGCAACAGGACGCTAAAATATAACATTGAAACAGGAGGTTCGTCATGGATTCAAATTAATGGACTTCAAAGTGGGGTCTTTGTTGAACTGAATACAACATTCAGAATATAATTTTCCAATCTAATAAGTCTGACAGAAAGAAGAAAAAGTTTGAAATTGGAGCTAAAGTTCATCATATATTCAAATAAGTGGAGCTCAAAGGTAAAGATAAAGTTATCCCTGTGCTTAATCAATTAAGAACGACAGCATGTAAACACTGAGGTGAAGGTACAACTCCATACATTCTTAACCATGGCACTATATGGAGGTGAGTAGTGAGCTTAAGATTGCAGCCACATTGTTCCAGGAGAATGATTTCCCATACCAACTGTACAGGAGGTTGGGTGGGCCCCAGAGCCAGCCTGAGTGCTGTGGAAAAGAGAAAGAGTTCCTGCCAGAAATAAACTTATTCCTCAAGAATCCAACCCAAACCCCACTGCTGTACCAAACGAGCTATCCCAGCTCCAAATGGACCTCCAAATGGGCATTTTTCTTAACCATATGTGACATTAAGAAAACCATGTTCCCCCCAGTATTCTGCTGCATCAAACAGTTTTAAATTTTGCGCAAAATAAATCGTATGACATGCAGTCATGCCACAGTTTACAATAAAATTCTTATTCTGCAGGCTGCGAAGCAGTCATCATTGGGGAGAGTACCTCACAAATATACCTGTGGAACCACTATACTGGTGCCCTTGTTAAATTAATCCAGTGTCTGAGGACTGATACAAAGCTGCAATGGGCTGATGAGGACCAGGTACTGTACATGGACTAATTCATACTGAAGATTATTGTCTTTTTCATGTGATGTTATGTAGTTTGGTAGACTGCCTACAGCATCTCTGAGGGTGTCATACTTTGGGTAGGCAACCTTATGAGAGGAAAGTTCCATGTAGTCAGTATGATGTGCAGTATGGTGATTCTGGTTCCCAATCATGTGTTGGAAATATAATTTGGTGTCATTTTAATAATGATGTAGCAATCCATGTCAGTGTCTGATGGTAATACACCCTCAAAGATGTTTCAGATATGCTACACTAAAGTTTAAGAGAAAACCTGTTTACTCCATCATCTACCCTGAAGATGGAGCCAGCAAGTTCCTCCAAAACACTGGTACCTATCTACCAAATTACACAACTTCACATCCCAGTTATTTGATTGATTTCACGAAGGTTGGCGTAAAACTGCAACCTATAATGATCCCTAGAAGCACCATACAGGAGATCTCGTTGAATCTTCCACAAGGCTTTATGCCCCCTTAGAAGTGTTTTAAGCACAGTGTATCTTGTATATATGCACAGCAAATGAGTGAAAAAGGAATGTCATTAACAAATATTATGCAGTTTGCAAGAACAATGTTTATGGAAGTTCAGCATGCCTTTCTTTCTGTTTTAGGGTTTCCTATTTGCAGCAGTTTCTACTCTGCTGCACACAGAACTAATAGCAGTGAATCTAACAACAGGGAAGCAGAAACAAGTGCGCAAATACCTCCTTCCAGACACACACAAGTATGTGCACTTTATCACCACCACCACCCTAACTAGTATCAGGCCTACATAGACTTGGTACAAATGTTACAAAATGGAATCCATCCCCATTTTCAAGAGATCTGTGTGAAATCGCCACACCTACGAGATATTATCTTTCTTAAACCTGGGTTTCTCCCACCCAGTTTCTTTAGTACTGTTACATAAATTCTGTTATTTGTGGAATTTGTAGTTCTCTCACAATTTTTTAATTCCTTTTACTGTCCGAAAGTGTGGATCCTACAGTCTTGCTCATGAAATACATTTCTGCTGATATCAACTTCCTCTGTTCTTACTACCAGTATTTCACTACCATTTTATGTTATACATTTACTTTAATATTTCTAGTTCAGGAATAAGGTGAAGGTAAAGTCCCTATGCTTAATTAAGCACAATGCCATGAAGATATGTGGCGCAGCAGATGTAAAGCTCCATGCACTCTTATTGATGTTTTTCAATGATAAACACTGATTATTTCCCGAAACACCATTAACTGGCTTGTTTTTGTAATGGACATGGTAAGAACAAACTGTAAATATAATTTAGACGAGCTTGAGACTTCAAAGGGTTAGCATGTCTGAACTTTGGACTGTTAATGTAGTTCAATTTGTATTGCCATGATGTTACCTTTAGCTCATATTTTCTGCAGGCTAATGGGAATCAGCGTGGAGCGTGGGAAGATGATGGCAGTTTTCGTGGAAGGATTCATGTGCTGGGATCTCGTGGCTGAAACAGGAACCACACGGGCAAATACTCAAATATTAAATTGGCAATAGCATGTACTACATTTTGGGTCCATTAAACAGTCAAAACAGTCGATGTAAATGTGCCTACAACTATAAATAATATTTTGACACTGTACAGATTGCCTCTTGTGCTTCTGACTTGATAGCAGTTAACCATTTCTCTGTATTGTTGTATCTATAGTATGTCTAAAAATATTGCAATAAAATATGATGATCACTTCAAAGACAGTCAGTCTTTGCACTTGAAGAAAGCAGTTTTCTGGGATTTGGCACCGTGTATATGTGGTGTTAACCGACGTTTCGGAGGAACGTATCGCCTCCATCTTCAGGGTAGAGGGAAAAAATATAAGAAATCTGCAAGCAAAGAGACCGTGAGAACCAGTAAAAGCAGACTGTCCGGTTTACCGGTTCTCACGGTCTCTTCGCTTGCAGATTTCTTATATTTTTTCTTCTACCCTGAAGATGGAGGCGATACGTTCCTCCGAAACGTCGGTTAACACCACATATACATGGTGCCAAATCCCAGAAAACTGCTTTCTTCATAGTCACAGCCATGAAAGCCTCAAATCTTACATAGTCTTTGCACTTCTTTACTAGTATAACAATCATACTCTATGTAACACTACCCCATATAATGACATTTCACTGCTTGCTCTTGCTTTCTTGAATGGAACCAAATTGAACAGAAACCTTCCCTCCGTTACACCTGATGACAAAAACAGATCCAGTTTCTGGAACATGTTTGAAACAACTCAAGATAGCGGACATTGTCATAAATAAAAGTCACGTTTATTGTAACACACCATCATTAGGGACATTTAGATGCAGTCATGATATAAGGATGTTCTGTGAACATCATGAGCCTAAGAGGCAAAGTTCACTGAATTCATGACCTTACAAGGTACAGGTGTCTTGTCTGTAACTGCCAGTATCCCCTAAGCTGTTCTAGAAATCCAGTGAACACATTCAGAATCTCAGACATATCATAATTCCTTTTATAAATACACTGTAGCATATGAACTGTACAACCAACATAACTATTCATTTCTGGACATATCCATTATTCTATTATTATTCAAAAGCATGTTCCAGATATTGGAAACTGCCTCTACTGCTACTCAGTTGGACCCAATCAACGGAGATAGCCCCTTACTTCAGACTTCTTATCTGAGGGCAGAGGCAGGGTCCAGTCTCCAAAACTCTATTTTAAATAAAACCAGGACAGTTGATAATGCTTATCTGAGTGTAAGGTGGAGGATTTGGAATGTTGAAACATCTAGGCATACTGTAGCAGTGAGATGAAAACTATGGAACTATGCACTACTGAGTCACCATAGCAACAAACTGACAAGTGTTAACTTAATGCATGAACATTCATTATGTATAGGTCACAAATAAGTAAGCATCCTTTTGTTTTGGAAGATCATGTCCCATGAGAATTTATAGTATTTTGAAGTGGACATGTAAACCTTGTGTTAATGGCTAGGAAAGAAACTGTGCTACAGGGTATGACTGATAGACTAATTGAAATTGGAAGGTACTATGGCATGGAAATGAATGTGGAGAAAACAAAAGTCATGAAAATTTCGAGACAACCAACCCCAGTCACAATAAAGATAGACCAAAAACAACTGGAGAATGTGAAATGTTTTAAATATTTGGGTAGCTTGTTAACAGATGATGGAAGGTGTACTAGTGAAATTAAATCCAGGATTGCCATGGCAAAAGCTGCATTTAGCAAGAAGAAGAATCTTCTTACCAGCAAATTGGACTTAAATTTGAGAAAGAAACTAGTGAAATGCTACATTTGGAGCATTGCTTTGTATGGGGTTGAAACTTGGACACTTAGGGCAGTAGATCAGAAACACCTGGAAAGCTTCAAAATGTGGTGTTGGAGAAGGATGGAGAAGATCAGTTGGACCGATTATGTGAGAAATGAAGAAGTGTTAATTAGAGTCAGTGAGCAGAGGAATATCCTACACGAAATAAGAAAATGGAAGGCTAATTGGATTGGTCATATCTTGCACGGTAACCGCCTTCTAAAAGAAGTTATTGAAGGAAAGATAGAGGGGCGGATAGAAGTGACAGAAGACGAGGAAGAAGACGTAAGAAGATGGTGGAAGACCTTGGGGACAGAAGAGGATATTTTCATTTGAAGGAGAAAGCTCTAGATCGCATCAAGTGGAGGAACTGTTTTGGAAGAGACTGTGGACCTGTCGTCTTGACAGATTACAGATGAATGAATGAATTAAAGTGTGATATACCATATGAAGGAGATCATTTACATTTGACTGTGCATATTATTTATGGAAGATGGTGTTAAACATTAGCTATATCACATCATTCTGTAACATGTATAACTGGAAAAGAACACTGAGAAAAGCAGGGGAAATTAATATTATGAAAGCTTATATAACAAATGATAAACCTTTCCACTGAATTCTTGAATGGGTGTTACACTAGTAATTTATAAACAAAATAATCACAGTGTTGTTTTATTGATTAAGGGCATAGAATGAATGGAACATACTGTATTTCCTACACAGTTACAACATAACTTGACATCAGGCTATATAAGTGGTACTTCCATTAATCTGTGAGTAACAGACACTTTAGTCAGCATGTGTGGCTTCGGTTCAGTTCTGAATAAAGTTTCAGTTCTCTTTGCACATTTTGATCACTGTTCCAAATTCTGTATGCAGCACTTAACTGAAATACTTGGATATGATGCCATATAGTATCCTTATCTTCAGGTTTCCCTGAAAAGGAGGCCGCATGTCGCTCTGAAATAGTAAAAATCCACCCCCTATATGATATCACATCCCAGATGACAATAATCTCTGTATTCACTGTTGTGAGAACCTCGGATTTAACATTTACTGTGTTAAAAAGAGACAGACTGGAGACTTTACCTGTCATCTAACATTTAAGTTCTGAGTCTTATATCCCACACTAACACTAGAAACAGACACTTTTCTTCCTATGAACAGGATCATAATACAGTTTAAATACAACTGGACCAGTCTGCTGCAGCTCATTTTCTTCATATAAGACAGTAAAATACAGGAAAATATACATAAACAGTATGTGTGTGTGTGTGTATAAACTGTTAACACAACAAATAAAAATAAATTTCACATAGGCTTCAGTACAGCTGCAATTTCTGGACCAAAGTTCCACCTATTCTAATATGATTTGCATACAAGTAAATAAAACAATAGAAGAACACATATGGCCATTAAAATACTATAAGAAACACTGGAGCAGCACTCCAACAGCATAGTGAAAGTTTGTTCATGGAACTCAGTCGCCAACCTCTGATAAAGAAACAGCAAACACAGAAAGTAACACTTTAAATGTTGGGTTATGTTCATAGCAGAAAGAACTTCACTTCGATTGTATGAAAAGTAGAAAACAGTCATATTTTTGCAGTCTGTCCTTATCACCATAACTTGTATGCTATATACAAGTGATTGCTGTGAAGGATTATATTCTACACGGAATTCAAAACCGTAAGCATTTAAACCAAGACTATTACCATCATCAGTCAAGGAGTTGGGTCATTTCTGGATCCACTCCAGCCTCAACTGCCTATTGGTATCATGAATAGTCATCCTTGATTCCTTGTAGTTGATCTATCTCATCATTAATTTGGGGAGTCACGCTTCAGTTGTCTTGTTTATCAACAGTCTCATCTCTCTGTATAAAATAATATTTATACTGATTTATTCAAACTGTGTTACAGTGGAACCCCCATTTAATGTTTTCCCTCATTATGTTCAATTTCAATGATCCAAAATCAGCAATCTTCATGTTAAATTTCCTATATTTAAGATTTTCCTCATTTCAGTGTTCAAATCCACTCCTCCCTAAAAGAAACCTCAAATGGGGGATTCAATGTAAATAAACAGTGCGAAATGAATTTAACTTATACACCAAGCCAATTCTCAGCTTCAGATATCAAATTGCCTCTCCTGATATACACAGTTCATAATTTAGAACTGTACTGACTGTGACATCTGGCTCAATAAATGAAACCAGATCTTAATAATCCAAAGTACAAATTATTCCAAATGCATTCTTTGCAATTTTGTGAACTTGCTGTATAAATACCTACAGGACTTTCAAACACCTGTCAGGATTTTACCACTGTAAATGATATGTCAACCCCTTCTATGCTACACATGTACCACATGCCCTGTGGCACATTAGGTTAAATTATACTGTGTGTGGAATAAGAACAATATATTTCATTTGTGACTTCATACTTATTATTTTGTGGGATTTTCTGCTGTTTCTCCCACAATGAAATGAAACCATTTGTGACACTTGAGAATACAGTAAGCACCCATCGAATGTATGGGATGTTCCTTGAGTGTGTGTTCACACTGGATGAACTTGAAGGGAGGACAGTTTAGTTGAATATTTACACTGTTACATAATCTGAATAAATGAAATAAAGTTGATTATACAAAAAACACATACAAAAACTACACCATCCTTAGCTTTTTAGACAACAGCAACATTTTTCACAAGCTATCATAACTACAATGTGTTTGGCAGACAACATAACGTTCCTCCAAAATGTCGGTTAACACAATTTCTATACGGCACCGCATCCCAGAAGACGACTTTCTTCAACATGTAATCAAAGTTTCCATATTTTGCAGATAACTGCTCACACTTTCACACAGCGCCAAATCTGAGGGGCGTTTTCTATAGAGTTTGTTGCAATTTTGTCACCAACACACACAAATGTAATTCTTTTTTACTAAAAAATAATGTATCTACAAGATCATAATAATGCTTAAATATAAAAGGCTAAAGCTTGCTGCTTTCTGTTCTTCTGACCCTGTGTGTGTTAGCAAGAACTTACAAATATGAGCAGAAGATGGCAGAGGTGGGAGGTATTCTTGAATCTGTATTATAGTGTTTACCTTTGCTGAAAATTTTCCTCTAAGTAGTAGTGTCATGCATATTATTATTCCATCAAGTTTAGTATCAGTATTGTAGTGTGCAGAGCCACTGCAATGGAACAATTAAGAGGGGAAAATATATCAGACCAAATTTTAGGCAAAGGCTTAGTAAACAAGTTCCCACAGCAACGAATCAACACACAACAGAGGTACTGTTGGAAACAGGGGTTTCTACTTGGTCCATGCCAAGAAGTTATAAGGAAGACAACTGGGGCAACCAAATCAGTTCTGTATAGAAGGCTGTGAACAAAAGGGGCAGAAGAAAAGAGTTCGGTTGGAAGGGAGCCATGATTCAGAGAGGGCTTGAGCACAGAGGCAGAGGAATAGCCACTGCTGGAGTCATTACCAGGAAAAGTCTAGTAGCAGACCAAGAACACTGGACTGCATGCTCTAGCAAACTGTAACATATGGAAATAGTGGTAGTGTTATAGTTATTTGTAGTTATGACCTGTTAAGTAGTCAATAAATCCATTATCCAATCAAAACCCCGTCTATAGTCCCACATATTACACGACAGTATAAATGTAGCTGTCTTTCCAGAACTTTTAAAGTTATTCAGCTTAGGTATTTTTGATAAGGTTTGTTTTTAGAAGTCTTCTAAATTGTTCAGCAGAAGAAATGCATCTGAAAACTCATACTGTTGGTGGTTACAAGTGGAGCCTGATGAGGGTGGCAAATTTTACAAACCTCCTGACCTTTTCCACGTTTTGTTGAATGAAAATTAATGTCTATTGATTTTTGTTCATATCATGGCATGCAGACCTGTTGCTGGGCAATGACTGTGAGATAAGCAAATATACAAGAGCTGTTTCTAAGTAACGGCTCTGCCAACAGACATGAATGCAACTGAGCTACAACAGTGAGGAACGGTGTTTTCTGTGCAGTCCATGCTGCGATGTTATAAGTTGGATAAGTTGGGAGCTGCAGTCAGTCAGTCAGTCAGTGAAGTGGAGTCAGTTGGTGAGTGATTTAGTCCATGGAGAGTCGACAGTAGGAGGAATGAATTAGCTGTGAGAAAGTCACCAGCCAGTAAGAACAAGAGCACAGAAGCAGAGGACATTGTTGGGATCCATCACCAGGCAATGACTGGTGAAGACACTGTAAACTGAGAAGTCTTTATGTGTGCTGTAGTAACAGTGATCTTTGGAGTGTGTAACTCAGTGAAACTGTCAGAGTAATTTGTGGTTACATTCTGTAAGTGTTCAATAAATCTTATTACCATTCCATACCCTGTCCACAGTCACACCCATACACGCGACAATATCATGACCATTAATTGGCAGTAATCTACACATTTCATGTAACAACATAAACAGCCGAGAAAGCTGGCCTGCTCTATGAAATTTACATCTACTCTAACACTCAAACATACAAAGGACATCTGAAGAAATATATAAACTTCAAATACAACTCTGCAAAAAACTGTCCCTGGAAATTTACAACTCTGTACAAAGAACTTTCTTGCCTCTGTGATGAGACTCCTGGCAAAATGAAGGCTTTTAATCTTCCAAAGTGACATTCTTGAACAAGTATGACATAGACTCTTTGTTGTGGATGCGTCGAATGGCTTCTGAGAGGAGGATGCTGATGTCCACAGTTTTTATTTTGTGGCATTGCATCTTCTGGAGCTCATGAGGGATCGTATTGGTTACAACAACCTGAAACCAAAATGCAAAGCAAGACATCAAGAAGCCTGTATTTCCACTTGCTCACATGAAGTGTACACATAATTGTGAGAGGGCCATGTTTGTTGTCAGCATGTTTCAAGTCCACTTGAGTGATCTAGATGAAATGCTAAGGTGTCTCATGAAAACTACAGAAAAACAGTTTACAGTCATGTACAGTGGACCCTCAATATAATGTGGCTTTTGGGACACAACTTCACTAACCATGTTATATGTCAAATTGACATCTGTCTAATGTTGGCATCCCTGATATTGTACACATTTATCCAGCGAATAGAATACATTAAATTTTAGGATTTTTCTCTTCCCCATAGTGTCTAGACCAGCCCCAGGGTCCACCTAGCCCCTTACCCAATGGGTACTGGTGGCTCTTTGCCTGGGGGTAAAACAGCCAGGGCATGAAGCTGACCACTCACCATCTGATGCCATGGTCTAGAATGGTGGAGATGTAACTTCACTCTTTCAGCCTCTCAGTGGGCTATTTAGATGCCCCAGGCCAGAGTTTTTAAATGACAGGGTACTTTTAATGCATTCACTGACCAGCAAAATCTGGAAACACTCTGCTCATAAATTATGATACACAGGAATCTGAAACTTCATACACATCTTCAGGGGATGTTTTAGTAAACTCTTATGAGAGTGTGGCACCTGGTATCACATTCCCCAGGACGTAGAGGAACACCACACTTTCGACATTACCACCCAGTTTCAACAGTTTTTTACACTTACTACACCTTCTTGTAGGACAACTGTCACTACTTTGTCTTGACATCTAGCCAAATGGAGGGTCTTCTACAAGACTTTTTGGTGGTAACACATCTGGAGGTTGCATTATAATGATGCAGAAGAATATTCCAGGCATGCAGCTGATGAAGGAGCATTTGCTTTCCAGAAGTAAGGTATAGGACACAATTTTCATGAAGTCCAAATATACCATCCCTACTTTCAAAATTTGACTTTAAAAATAGATGGAAGGAATTAATTGATTACTGATGCCATACCTACTGCTGTCACTGAAGTGGAGAAATGACAAAATACTTTCAAAATGGTTCCAGGCCATTGTTTCCAAAAACACTGAAGCTTAAAAAACAGGATCTTCGAACTAAGAGAGTTTGAGAGTAACCTTATTTATTATCCCAGTCACAAACATCAACCCCCCCCTCCCCCAAATTTTCTCAGCTCTGATACTGTTACTGCAGTCCATGTCTGAAATTACAAATGTTTTGTAAAAGGGCGAGGCGCAGCAACAATCACTTTGCTAGCACACACAGTGGTTCATTCACAAACATACTCAAGAAAATTATTTGTAATAAATAAATTTACAAAGTCATAACATTGGTGTTCTGAATGTCAGTATTCAGGCCTGTTTGCTGTAAATTGTGAAAGAGGAGGACAGTAGCCTGGTGACGTTTTGGGTGTGGCCTTGTCTGCACACCATCACTGAATTCATAATGATCAGATTCTCAGATTATATGGTCTTCATTAAACAACGCTTCCACAATACAATTGCCACTCAATACTTTCTTGTTTGCCATAATGCGTTACACTATGAGATGTGAGCAGCACACTGTCAAACTGCCTGCTTATTAAAACAACAAAGGATAAGAAAGCGGAATAAGAGTGACATATGATATTTGAGGCCAAGGAAATACTGATGCATATGCCATCTATGTAAGTAGCAACCAACTACGCTATATAATCATCATCTGAATGACAAATGTCGGATGCGGGAACACTTATCCGACCGCCAGATGGATGTGGGAGCAAGAGTGTTAATTAAGCTTAGGGAAATCTTTACCTTTACATGCACACTACAGTAAAGAATCTTGCAATGCAGTCTCACAATGTAATCATAACACTGCACAGAAATCTGTATAACAAAAGAAAAACATATTCAATCATACTGGAGGACATGATCATTATGACTCTACACTCTACAAGTATTATCCATAACAAAGGTTCAATGAATCACCTCAAGGCTTTCTCACTAAAAATTCCATGGCACTGAGTCCTTCTTGAAGCCAATAGTTGCTCAACTGCAGAAGAAATTTCCAGCTTTTATGGAACCTGCAGGTTCCTTACCATGTTCACAAGTGCCCAACACTGGTCTCAATCGTGAGGGACTAAAGTCCCTACATTCCCATCCTATTTCTTTAAGATCCATTAATATTATCATCCCACCTACACCTATGTCTTTCTAGTGATCTCCTTCCTTCAGGTTTTCCAAAAAACTTTCTCCATGCTTCTATTCCCTACTATGCATGCTATATGCTTTGCCCACCTCATCCTCCTGGATTTGATTATCCTAACATTTGGTGAGAAGTGGAAATTATGAAGCTCCTCATTATGCAACTTTATCCAGTCTCCTCTAGACTTTCTGATAACCCTTTGCCTGTATGGATGTTGCTGCAGCTCTCAGTATTAATTCTGTTTCCATTGAGTCAACAAGTCAGCTTGTTTTGTTGACCCTCAAAAGTTAGCACTCCTGAAGTCATCACTGGGCATGAGAAGCAACACCACAGACAAGCATGTGATGGTACTTAAGTGACATGTATAAACTTCATTTACAGTTTAGAACAAATTTAAATAAAAGAAGAAAAAACTCAAAATATGTTAACAAACTGTAAAACTGAATGTACAGTAATTCTTAATCCCAAGCCTTCGTGGCTGGAGCTCCATGTATGATTTCAGCTTTTGGGAACACACCATACAGAATGTTAAAGATCTCTGTTTTGCATAATAATGCAGTTGCCAAAACACTGGAAAACCTTTAACATTTTATGCAGTGCAGTCCTGAAAGCCAAAGTCACACATTAACTGGGAATTCTTCCTTAACCAAATGTTTAGATATCAGTTGCTACAAAGCAGGTCTTAATCCTGGCAGGTTTTCCCTCAACTGCTCTAAGCTCAGAGTAAATGATTATACAAAAGAGTTCGCTTTTATCATAATTAACCACATTTACACATATCATACCTGTGAACAAATTTACAACAGAGAAAGTTGTTTGAAAATGTCACCAGGAGTTGGAGGAAGAGTTTCCATAAGCCCCATAAGCAGGCATAAGAAAAAAACCGATACTACAGCAAGCGCTCCAATTCAAGTTCCTTGATTTAACACTTTCCTTCATTCAACACTCTGTTTCAATGATTCCATGCCAATAATTTCAGTGTTAAATTTCCCCTAATTAAGATTTTCCTGAGTTTAGTGCTCAAACCCACTGGTTAACAGAGATCTTAATTTCTTTAATGTCGATTCAAGATGCTTTCAGTACCAAGATTATGTAGCATCAAATGGAGGAATGATTAATGGATGATGAATTGGAAAGGAACTGGAAGAAATGTTGTGGCTTAATCAAAGTACTATCCTAGCATTTTCTTGGAGGAAATGAGGAAAATCAAGAAAAACCTCAGTCAGAAAAGCCAGTGTCCCAGGTGAAACTGGACCAAGAATTGCCTCGATACAAGTCTGAAGCATTATGGACGATGCTCCGAAGTGAAGTTGTACTCCTGTAGACGCTGTATCCAGCGCGCTGTTTGTCCCTCTAAGTTCTTGAAACTCATAAGCCAGGTGAGCGCGGAGTGGTCCGTTCGCAGATGGAACTGTTGTCCGTAGAGGTATTTGTGGAAATGTTCCAGTGTCCTCACTATGGCAAGTAGTTCTCGACGGGTGACACAGTAGTTTCTCTCCGCTTTGTTTAGCGTCTTGCTGAAGTAAGCTATGACACGCTCTTTTCCGTCCTGGATTTGAGAGAGAACTCCTCCAATTCCGACATTACTTGCATCTGTGTCCACAATGAATTTCTCTCCTGGCTGTGGGTAGGCAAGAATAGGGGCAGCACATAGGGCACCCTTTAG